GTAGAGTAGAATATAGAGTAGAGTAGAACACAACAGAATAGAAGCTGGGAGGACCTTGGAAGTCTTTTAGTCCAGCCTCTGAAGAAGAACCTATACTATTTCAAATAAGTGGCTATCTAGTCTCCTCTTAAAAACCTCCAGTGATGGAGCACCCATGATTTCTGGTGGGAAGCTGTTCCACTGGTTAATTGTCCTCACTGTTAGGAAGTTTCTCCTTAATTCCAGGTTGCTTTTTTCTTTGATCAGTTTCCATCCATTGTTTCTCGTCCTGCCTTCCGGTGCTTTGGAGAATAATTTGACCCCCTCTTTTTTGTGGCAGCCCCTCAAAATACTGGAATCCTGCTATCATGTTGCCCCTAATTCTTCTTTTCTTTCGACTAGCCAGACCCAAATCCTGCAGTCTAAGAAAGACTAGTGACATGACAGCAGTATTCCAGTATTTGAGGGGCTGCCCACAAAAGAGGAGGGAGTCAAGCTATTCTCCAAAGCACTGAAGGCAGGTCAAGAAGTAACGGGTGGAAACTCATCAAGGAAAGAAGCAACCTAGAATTAAGGAGAAACTTCCTAACAGTGAAAAAAATGGACCAGTGGAACAGCTTGCCTCCAGAAATCCTGGACGCTCCATCACTGGGGGGTTTTAAGAAGAGATTGGGCAGCCACCTGTCTGAAATGGTGTAGGATCTCCTGCTTGAACAGACTATATGACCGCCAAGGTCCCTTCCAGCTCTATTCTGACTGATTGACTTCTGAATGTTTCTGGTTGGCCACTGAGGTGACACGAAACGCTGCGCTTGGCGCCCTTGGGCTCTTACATTCTTATATGCAAAAGCTATCCTGTTTTTCTCTTTTGTCCCCAAAGGCAGAAAACCCCTATGGCTGTTGGTGTTTTTCCCCTGACATTCATGTCTTCGGTGAACGTTTGTGTCATTCCCGCATTATTTAACTTAAAATTAAACATTATTTCACCTGATAGGCAATATTTGCCATGGAACTTCAGACGAACTGAAAATGGACATGCAAATATTTGTAGCAGGCTATGGACGAAAGCCAGGACTCCAGTCAAGGACAATTGTTGGAACATTCCAGAACAAGTTTAGTGCGTTACAAATAGCAGCTCTTGACAGAGAACTATGGAAAATATCCAAATCCATTCATTTTGTTAAAAAGTCAAACCGAGGCATTCAGAGTTCTTCTAAGTCTTTGAGTAAATCTCTTCTAGAAACAAGTCTTTAAACATTTAGACTCATTCAGCTGGCACAGTGACCTGAGTGATGCATTGGGATATTTTCCTCCAAGCATTTCATAACCCCACCCAGTGTAATTTTCCCTACTATTAAAGAAACCCAAGAACTGTTTTCTTTGAATGGAGTCCAGCTCTGGAACATGATATCATCTCAGAAAGAAATACAGGCTTTATTTCTTATTTTTCCAAAAGGCCTCTGCCACCCATGTGCAGGTAAGGTAACGGTAAAGGTTCCCCTCGCACATATGTGCTAGTCGTTTCCGGCTCTGGGGGGCAGTGTTCATCTCCGTTACAAAGCCAAGAGCCAGCAGTGTCCAAAGACGTCTCCATGGTCATGTGGCCGGCATGACTAAATGCCAAAGGTGCATGGAACACTGTCCCCTTCCCATCAAAGTGGTCCCTATTTTTCAACTTGCATGTTTTAACATGCTTTTGAGCTGTTACGTTGGCAGAAGCTGGGACAGGAGCTCACACCATTACAGGGTGCTAGGGATTTGAACCGCCAACTTTTCTGATCAACAAGCTCCAGCGTCTTAGCCACTGAGCCACTACGTCCCTTCAAGTGCAGGTAGACACTCTTAAAAAGTGGACAACTGAAGGCCACCACTTTTGAGGTATTTCCAATACAGGTAGTTCTCAACTAACGACTGCAAAATTTATGTTGCTAAGTGAGATCCTTGCTGAGTGTTTCCTGTCACACTTCTTAAGTGAATCATTGCAGCCGTTAAGTCAGTTGTTAAGTAAATCAGACTTCTCCAGAGTGGATTTGATTTATATCAAGTCAATTTAAATCACTAGTAAAAGATTTAAATCAGTTCAATTTAAATCATACTTTTGAAAGAGCAACTGTCATCTCTGCTGTGAAATTGTGCGAATGCCTCAATGTAGTGCATTTTATCTCAGCTTAAAGAGCTTGAATGAGTTTACCAAAAATGAAAATATTGCAGAATGTACAGCCTCATGCTACATAACTAAGCTCCATTTCATGCTGAATAACTAAATTATTAATGTACCTTAAATAAAAAAAACCTTACCTTTAGACAGATTTCTACTCCAAAAGTATTTTAGTAAAATAAATTTGATAAAAAAAATTTAAAATCCAACTTAAATTTTAAAAAATCTGATTTAAATTTTAAAAAAAAACTGTTGTTTTTTTTCAAAAATTTTTTAAATCATCCATTTTTATTCACCCTGGGCTTCTCCAATTGAATTTTCTCATTAGAAGGTCGGAAAAAGGGATCACGTGGCCCCAGGACACTGCAGCCATCATAAACATGAGCCAGTTGCCAAGTGGCCACATTTTGATCATGTGACCATGGGGGATCCTGCAATGGTTGTTAAGTGTGAAAAATAGTTTAAGTCACCTTTTTTTTCAGTGCCGTTATAACTTTGAACGGTCACTAAAACACACTGTTGTAAGTCGAGGACTTACCTGTACACTTTCCCCCCCCCCTGCCCCCCAAAAAGCTCCAGTGTCCTCCTGGCTTCTTGAGGGAGGGGAGAGAGGGTTGTAGCAAACAAAACGAGAAAAGGCAGAACATCACAGAAAAAACTCAACCTAGGAAGAATAAAAACCGCGGATACGTCTACACGGCCACCAATTTCGCCCTTCAAAGTACCAGGATGATGCAGGATGAAGCCAATCCATGGATGTTGTTCAGATCTAACAACTTAAAATGCTGGCAGCAAAGGAGTGGCAGTCGCTTTACCCTGAAATCGGCTCAGCGTCGCAACCACGAAAGTCTACGGAGATTCTTAAGTCATCCTGGACATGGTTGCCCCAAAGGTGCTTCCGCACCCCCCACCCCCCAAGAGGCAATTGGACTTTCTTGTTAATTCTTTTGAAGGCATTTTTGCTTCCCTTCCAAGAAGGTTCTTCACCTCTGGCCCGACTATGAAAGTTTTATCAGCTCGCTGGCCAGAACGAGTCAAGAGTGCAGAATACTATGTTTTGTTTTGTTTTTTTCAAGATTGAACAGAAAGAACCAACAACCACTTACCCCTCCTATTCTGAATACCACCTCTGGGTTAGACTCAACTGGCAGCATTTTAGGTAGCCTTCAATTATGGAGTAGCATTCATCTTTACTCGGAAGGCTACGTTGGGAGCCATACGCAGGTGCACATATATTAATTTCCATGTAAACCTTGCGCCTTTCTAGCCATGTCTGACTCTAGAGCCGCTCCAGGGCGAAACTTTGCCAAGCAAGATGTTCTGTCTCCTCCACCCTCAATCTGTGATATGATGTAATATGAGATACCCTGCAACCGTTCGCCTATGTCATCAGAGCTATT